AATCAGAGAAGCTAGAAGAAGAAGACGAGTTCGTGATCTGTTACAACAAGCTTAACAATTTAATCCCCTTATAACGATAAAAATAATTAAACCAGCTTAAACCGGAAACTTTAATAATTCAATCTGTTTCCACAAACCGAAAATAACAAATTGAACCGAGTCCCGCCAGATCATCTAGAGTTGATCTTCAAGACTTAGCATCAGGACTAAAACATTTCAACACATAAACATAACATTTATTCCATTTTTTGTTTTTACTACGTCCATATCCAAAAACTCAACTTTCGTTCGTACCCTTTTATCGACCACCTACCTTCCTTTGTCGTCCAAATTGAAACTAAATAAACAATCTCAATGCTTTTCCTCTTCACCAGAAAGAAAATTGCTTGCGCGCGGGCTAAGCCATCAAGAAGGAAATCAACAAGCATGGGCTTTAGGTGATCGAGCGTGTTCATGAGAACAAGTCTCTACTTCAATCGAACCTTTGCGCCTTCCCAAAATCTGTAAATTAGAAACAATCAATCAAAAGCATGGTGTTATACTCGAAAATGCAAACATATATATGTTGAACATTTGAAAAGGTAACTTAACCGAAGGCCACGAGAAACGCATCTCCTATATTAAACTATTAAATATCAAACCAGCTGTGTTTGGTGCATATATTTGATATATTCTTCTTTAAAACATGTTTGTGGGGGTTGAATCTCACAATAAGACTAAGTAACATTTTAGGATTGGGACCGCGTTGCTATTCTCTAATCTGCTGTAAAGAAAATCGTGGATAGGCATCGCGAGATGGATGGGACGTTCACAGAGTCAGAATCCGAGAGTAAGCGTCTTCAGGAGAAATTCGCTGACCTTACCACGCTTAGATGTTGCTACCAAGTTTCAAGATGCAGCTATGCAGCGGGCTGTTGACGAAGCGAAGCACGAACTGGTGACGAAGTACGAGTCAAGGACCGACCATGCTAGACAGAAGATCAGAATGATCAATGGCCAGCCGAGGATTGACATAATTGATCTTACTGAAATTTGGAGTAACATTGAGTTCGTAAAGTTTCTTTAGAGTGACAAGTCGCCTGATCTTGGAGAAGAGCTAGTTGACCTTGAGAAGTAGGAGGCGGATCACTCGTAGATGAGGCGTTTGCTAAGCATATGCGCGATCTTGAAGGGATCCTTAGGGATTCGCCTGCTAGCACGACCGATGATCGAGTTGAGAAATTGGACACTGATGTCGTTGAAGAGGAGGCTGACTCGGATTCGAGTTCTTATGATTTGTCAATCGATGATGACTTGTCAAACTCTGTGGCGATGATTTAAGCATGCCGTCAAGATTGTTGACGACGTTGAGGAGACCGCGCCTTAGTTTTTGATTATGTTTCAGCATTTTGTCGTGTTTTTGACTTTCGCTTTGGTATTGGTTTCAGCTGGGATTGTGTTTATCCTTGTCTTTGGATTTATCATTGTTTTTGAGATGGAATTTATGAAAACAGGTTTTATGATTCTTGTTGTTATCTTTAAGATGGACCGTTTTGTTGCTAAGTCTTTCGTCCGTGACGCTGATGTTCTTGTGGGCCTGGCTGCTCATTGATAAGCCAAATGATTTATTTATATTTACTGTCTTTAATGCAAGTATGGTTCATCGGCGAGTCTGTGCCGATGCAGCCTCTCCAAGAACGACCGTGTTATTGCCTAATGACCAACGATTAAGTTGTTGGGTTTCGACTAGCCAGATGCGTGCTGGGTTTTTGAGATGAATATTCTGGTTTACGAATATGTTCTCGTGAACAAGTCCGCTCCAGTAATAAACACAAGATTTTGACTAGTTGGACGTGTGCTTGGTTTCTGAGTTCAACATTCTAGTTTACGGATATGTTCCCGTGAACAAGTCCGCTTCAGCAATGAACACTGAATTTTGACCAGCTGGATGTGTGCTGGGTTTTGAGTTAAACATTCTGGTTTACGGATATGTTACCGTGAACAAGTCCGCTCGAGCAATAAACACTGAATTTTGACCAGCAGGATGTATGCTGGGTTTCTGAGTTGAACATTCTGGTTTACGGATATGTTCCCGTGAACAAGTCCGCTCCACCAATGAACACTGAATTTATATAGCGCGTTTTAATCCACTGGGGATATAGAGTTCATTATTGTGGCCAATAGCAATGGTGTGATGAATAGAAGTCTGTTTCGGAAAAGACTTTGAATGAATTTGCAAGTAAACACTTGGCTTTTGATAAGTTTGCAAGTAAACACTTGGTTTTTTATTGATTCAAAACGGCAAGTCGTGTAC